ATCCTCTATCTTCTCTGCACCCTCACTTGATCACCTAGTCATGCCGAGTCACTCAAGAGTTCTCTGTCATCCCCCTCATGCTGCTGTGTGTATGTGTGATGGTCATGTTGCCAAGAGAGTCCTTATTTCTTTTCTTTGCTGGAGAATTCCTACTCATCCTTTGAGACGTAGTCATGTTTCTTGCGAGACTTCCCTGATTCCCTCTAGGCAGAGGTAAGTCTTTCTCCCATAGCTCCTGAACACATTTCTATTGTAATGCCTAGCAATATGTATTTTGATTATTTATTTACTAGTCTGTGTCTCCCAGCTAATTATAAGCTTCTCTGGGACAAGGCCTCTGTCTTTTTCATCTTTGTGTCTCTAGCACCTAGCATGTTACTTAGCATATACATGGCACTTGCTAAACACTTGTTTGAAAGAATGAATACATGAATGAATGAAACATAGCATGTTAATAAAAAAAAAAAGCCATATGCCCTTCCCTGAATCAATCACTGCGGCCATAAAAATTGAATATTCTGATTGATTTAAGCCAATCATTATCCATCCCCAAAGTGTGGGAAAGGCCTATCCCACCAATCACATGGCCAACAATACGAGAGGGTGTTAGATATCCAGAGAGGCCAGCATGTCACCTGGAGGTAGAGCAGTGTGGTTTGGAAACATGGTTTAGGGCTACACCAAACAAATCTAACTTGCTATTCATTTGCTTCATCTAAGCCATGACCTGAAATAGTTTTCAGAACAGGTGGCCTTCCCACATTATCCTTCCCTGGGTCATGGCAGAAGAAATTTTCAGATTAAGGATCAAAAGCTCTGACTTCTGCTTTTGGTTCTGTTGAGACATTGAATCTTTCTGATTCTCAGTTTTATCAACTATAAAATGTGGTTAATGACACCTGTGCTCCCAGGACTGTCAAGAGGGTCAAATGAAATGATTAGCTCTTTCAAAAGCAACAAAAACATGTTTAGAAAGAACTTTTATAATCTCACCCTTACTGCTCACCTCTATATCTTCCTTATTTTATTTTATTTTTTATATAACTGCTTCTTTTATTTTAGTTGCCAGGAAGAAGCATTCCATAATTTTTATTCCTTATTTTAAGGTTAAAAAAATTAAGCCAATGCAACCTCTAAGTTTCTCTTTGTTCACCCCACTCCAGCCAGCCCAGCCTTCTTTTAGCTCCTCATATGTGCTATATCAATCATGGTTACTTTTAGTTCAAGGAATGGAAGATCCCATCCCGAACGACTTCAACAATAGGACATTTTATTCTCCCATAATAAGGAGTCCACCAATAGAGTAGGCTCCAAATATGGCATATCAGGCCCATGCCTCCACATCCCCTCTGCTGCCCCCCGGTTGCTTCACCTTGTTGAAGGTGGTTGCAGTAGTTCCAAGAATCATAGACAGAGAAGAACTGCATTTTCATGTGTGTCTCTTTCTTAGGCTAAGGAAATATTCCCAAGAAAAATCCTCATATCTTACTGGCCATATGTCCACCTCTCAACCAATCTCTGACAAGTGGAGGATGGGATTTCTGTGACTGGCAGAGATTACTCAGGATTCACTCTTGAGCTAGGGATAGGGCTATTTTATATACAGCCGCATGGTAGAAAATGATCTGAAAATGATCAGAATCTGACAGCTGAAAGAGTGGGTGCCTGAGTCTCAAACAGGCAATCAACAGATGCTGTCAGTGCCCTGCTCATACCCCCAGGTCCTACCACCTGAGTACACATCACTGACTTCTGATCACCAGCACCTGTATTTCTTCTACACTGGCTTCTCCCAACAATGCTTATAACAGTTGCTGTTTAGTTACTTGTTTGTGTAATTATTTGTTTTCCATCTCTATCCCTTGCAAGCTTTTTCTGATCTTTGGGACCTGCTTTGCCACCTACACAATAGGAAGGAAATGCTAGAGGATTAATGTTCCCACCCTAAAAATAGCCCTTAATGACTGATGAGAGTATATGTACCCCAAGTGTATAAATGTCCCACTTCCACCATCTCTAGGGTGAGATAACTCTGTGATATTTGTTCTACACTGGCTTCTAGAGCATCCCCAGCAGAATGAAGCTCCAGTTGCCCACAGTGGTAACTGGCTTGACCACACTCCCTTACAGACTGCCCTCCTTATCCTGTCTTACTTTTTCACTCCACTATCGTGTTGTCTTTACCTACTTTGACTTCCTGTCTCAGAGTTGGCTTCTTGGGAAAACGAAATGAAGATGTTCTGCATCATATGCCAAACTCCTTCCTGAATCTAGAGGCTTTGTGCATAATGTTTCCATCTGCTTAGAATGCATTTCCTCTTCCTTCTGACTTGACACAATCTCACTTTTCCTTCAAGCTTTAGTGCAAATGTCACTTCCCTTGGAGTGCTATCTTTGATCCCTCTCCACCTGACACCCTTCCCCCATGCTTGCTCTCTTCTTCTGTAGTTTTCTCAACAATGCTTATAACAGTTGCTGTTTAGTTACTTGTTTGTGTAATTATTTGATTTCCATCTTTATCCCCAATTAGACTGGGACCGAGTTGAGGTCAGGGATGATGTTCTTGGCCCACCATGGTATCGCTGGTGCCTACCACAATGCCTGGCACAGCGTAGAGGATGGAGGACTGGCTAACTGGCTTTGGAAAGACGAGCCTTGTAAAAGACTAAAGATGTACATTTGAGGGTCATTAACACAGAAATAATCATCAGAGCTTTGGATAAAAAAGGTCTTTTATCCATATGACTCCTACAAGGATATACATTTATTTCTTATGACAAAATATAACATTTCTATATAGGAGGAATGCCCATTGTTTAAGGGGGAATCTTGGTGTATCCCATTTATAACTGTAAAAGATGCAATTTTAATCATTTTTAATAGAAACCGGATTCCATCTTAAGTCCACAATTTATTCATTCTTTTATTCACCTAATACCTACTTATGGGGCATTGTATCTCACAAGATTTTAGAATCATCTGCCATTGGAAGACTCTTTTCAGAAGTCATTAGAGAGAATATATTAATGGAGAATATTCCAGGTTCTCTCTCTGCCTTCCCTCAACTGTATTTCCACATTGGGCTTTTGGTTTTCATTAAAAGAGCAGAGCAATGTTATGAAATCAATCACTATATTTGCTGGAAAAGGGTAACTGAGGATATTGTCAATTTTGTCACTTGGTGCTTATGGGGAGAAATTTCTTTGTTTTTTAAATTAATTAATTACTTTTTATTTCAGAATATGTGAAAACAACCCAAGTGCCCATCAATACATGAGTGGATTAATAAAATATGGTATATGTATACCATGGAGTACTACTCAGCCACAAAAACAATGGTGATCTAGCATCTCTTGCATTATCCTGAAGGAGCTGGAGCCCATTCTACTAAGTGAAGTATCACAAGAATGGAAAAACAAGCACCACGTGCACTCACCATCAAATCAGTACTAATTGATTAACACTTATGTGCACATATGGTAATAACATTCATTGGATGTGGGGCACGTGATGGGGGAGGAGGAGATGCATATAGTCACACATAATGGGTGTGGTGCACACTGGGGGATTGACACACTTGTAGCTCTGACTCGGGCTGTGCAAAGGCAATATATGTAACCTAAACACTTGTACCCCCATAATATTCTGAAATAAAAAAATAAATAAAAGAAATTTAGTGATAAGTGGCATGAAGCAATGTAAATACAAACAAGCAAGCAAACAAGTATGGTTGCCATCTCTTTGTCAGGCAGACTCTTTCTCACAAATTGCTAAACCCCACACTTACCTTGACAGGGGATGAATCCAGGTTTTGTAGGGCTTGAATTAGAATCCCTTTTTGAGGAAAAAAAGTGCAAAACTACAAATAAAAATGTAGCACAGAAGGGACCCACATGAGAGAAGAGATCTGAAGTTTAAGCTTCATTGGTTCCACAGTAAATCAGCGCCAGAGAAACTGGTCTCTTCCTGTCCCATACACCTGCCACATTTGTTCTGACCTCTATGACTTGTTTGTGTTGCTTTCTTACTTCGAAGGCCTCACTCCTTTTTATTCTTCCATCCTAGGACTATAGCTTTTCAAGCTTTGTTTTCATAGTGCTTTTATTTGACTCTAGCCAGCAGAAAAGTCATCTCTTCCCCAAAGGCCCACTACCCCATGTGTAGAGCCCTGGATATTTTGTCATGAATTGCTCTACTTGAGGTGCATAGATAATGCCTTCTCCAGCAAGATTGTCCCCTGTCTGGGCCCAGGATTGTTTCTCCTTTTAGATTTCTCTCAACCCTTAGCACAGTTCTGGGTACAATAGGAAGGGACGGGAAAAAGGAAAGGTCTCATAGAAGCAGAATGATGGGGTTTGGAGACAGGCAGGCCTGGTCATGTCCTAGCTCTGCCACCTGTCACGGTGGGACTTTTAGCAAGTCTGTCAACCTCTCTAAGTCTCAGTTTTCCCACTGAAAAAATGGATATGATAGTGATATTTATGTCACATTATTGTTGTGAGGATTAAGTAAAAGCATTTATTCATTCACCAAGTATCTATTTAGCCCCTACCTTGGGCTATTTTTGGCACCAGAGACTTGGAATAAACGTGAACAACAAATAGTCTGTGTGGAGGCTCTCAAGGTTGAGTTGGCAGATGGAAATTTATCACAGGACAGGATAAGGCCATAACAGACACACGAGCAGAGTGTGGAGCCAGATGCATAGTAAGCGCTCGATAAATAGTTGCTGAATAAGTGGCTAACACAATGAGGGAATTTGGAAGAGAAAAATCATTACTTTTGCAAAAAAAAAAGTAATTTTACAGATTTGCAAGATCATCTCAATATAAATATAATGGATATGACAGTGCCTGGGAAGTTGTAACATGCTACATGTTAAAGAAAATAAAATCAATAGGCAAAAGAAAGCAAGAATTAAATGAGGGAAGAAAGGAAAAAAAGGGAGAGAGAAAAATCCTAAGGTGGCAAGGAGGAGGAAGAGACGTCTGTTGACCCACCTGGCCAAGTGTGCACTCCATGCCACCCAGGAAGTCAGCTTCTTTCAGCCCATTGTGGTTGCTGCTGATGTCGTGGACTTCAAACCGCAGGCGCTGCACCTCTTCAAAGTAAAAGTCAACCGTAAACAGTTTTGAGTACACTGGGTTTATGCAGGTGCGAATCACCTCTGTCCTGTCAACCTGCAAGAGGAGATAAAGAGAAAACCTATCAGGTATTAGAAGATTTTATTACCATCTTTCAAGCAAATTAATCTCATGGTGCTTCCATTTTTGTCAACCATAAAGGATGACAAGTTCAAAAGTCTACAAGTGGCACCTTCCGAGGACGAGCCAAATTTCAAGGAAGAAAATCTTATTAGACATAACAATTTGAAGTTTTTATATGAGGATTTAGAGTATGTTGTATTATTAGATGATAGGGCAGGATGACTCAATCGTAGTGGCTGCCTAGAGCCTGAAGGCACATCTTGGCTCAGGAGGCAAGAGATCTGTAATCAGTTAGTGATGTCCGGTGGGCACAGTAATGGAAAAATGGCAGTGTAGGTGTCTCATTTTAGCCAACTCTAATATGAATTTACTAAATCATGATTCCTGGCAAAATGAAGTAGAAAGTCCATGAGACTAAATAAGAGGATAACAGCCTTTAGTCTCAAGTATGTCCCTTATTAGGTATATAATGTTCACCTACTCATCTCAGTTCCCTAGGTCTCAGTATCCTCATTGGCAAAATGAAAATGAGATGATTAGAGGATGAATTAGAGTCTGTCCTGCTCTAACATGAAATCATGGTTCCCTTTGCCTTCTGTGATAATAACTCAACATTTGTCCCCCTCTGCCACATCCATATATGCCACTTTCTGCCCTACCCTGCGACCCAGGAGGCTGGCCTCTATGAATTCAATTTCCGGGGCTCCCCTGCCCTCTGGGTTCTGGTTGGAGTCAGCCAGAGAGAGGAGTTGGCAGGAGATGAGAGAGTGGAAGAACAGAGAGGTGCAAGCATGTCTCCGCATGCACAGATTCTGCTAGCAGACCCCTCTCCACAGAGGGAGCTTTTGCTGGGGTTAGGTAACACAGTCCCTCTCTCTTGAACCTTCAGAGTGCAGGGTGGTAGTGGCTTTCTGCAGCTGCTATCCCTGATGTCTCTCAGATGCCTAACCTTCCTTTGCTGGCTTGCTTAATCCTGCCCACGTCCCTATAAAGCATTCCTCTCTACAGAGATTAGCCCTTTAGGTTAGGCTCTCTGGGTATGCCATCTGTTTTCTGCTAGGATCTTTACCACTAAGGTTCTTTTCCTCTATATTTGTCACAGGTAAAAATACACAAAACCATTTATATTCTGGGAAGCCTTAAAGGACTAAGTTATAGATAACCCAAGATCCTATAGCATCTCTCAACTGGAGCTACCCATCCTTCATTCTTTACAAATCAACTGGAGCCTATGTGTACTGTCAGCTTTCAAATAGAAACATGGTTTATTGGCTACTTCCTAAGTGTCAATTGTTAGCACAAACTGTGAGAACCCTTTCTTTCACTTTCATATACATAAAAGGAAATAGCTTCTTAATAAAATAAAGGGAAGGCAGTTCTTAACCATATTATACATGCCTGTATTACCCAGCAAAAAAAGATTTGATGCTTGCTCCATGCTCCCCTGACACTCTAAGTTCAGTGCTTTATCCCTGGCCCTAACCCTTGCTATGTGGAGAGATGTGTAAGAGAGGGTTGTCCTTTAAGGAACACTACCTGCCATTCTTCACCGGACAGACAATGCAGATTGCAAGGAGAAGGAGAACATAGTTTTTGTTATGTCCTTGTCCAATAGATAGGAAGACAAGAAATTAAACTTGAGCCCATTGTTGATTAGGATTTTACAAGTTATTGTTCAGATCCATGGTTATTTGACTATTCTGGCTTCCCATGAAGATCTAGCTTGTATTTGCAGTGAATTATATATTCTTATATTAATATTATGTTCATGGGGTGGGATGACAGGACTGATTATGCCACTAGATGATCATATAAGTATAAAAATTTACTACATTGGCATAATTTTTTTTCAGTTGTGCAGAGATCATAGTTTTGAATAATAGTATAAATGAGAGATTATAAACTGGGAGTCTGCAAGTGTAAGCTGACTTGGAGATATTTTATTTGTCCCACTCAAAGTATTTTCCCCTTAATTTGCCAGCATAAAAAGGAAGCTATTTCTGTTGCCTTCCCTTCAGAAGAAATTAGACCGCATTCTTACATGGTAACAATTGAAGACTGTCCCATTCGGACAGGGCATTCACGCTCCAGTTCTCACAGTCCCTTCCGGGCCCTTCTCCTTCAAATCTGCCTGCCCCCGAGAGGCATTTTTACAATATCTGGTCCAAATTCATGGAAGAATGAGCCAAATGATAAAAGATTTAATTATATTTATGTAGTGTCTTTTGATAGAGGATTTCAGAATAACCCCCAAGAAGTACATTACAGATGGATCTGACATCCTCAAGACAGAAAAAGTGCCTTCTCTGCTTGTGGATGGAAGAAGAGAGTCCTGAGCAGGTTTAGATGACACAAGATAGGAAATGGAAACTCTAGTCTTGTTATTCTGCTTCAGCCACCTCAAAGGGTGCAAATGAGTGATGTGCACCAATCCTGGTACTTTTCTTCTCGCTTTTTCATTTCCAAATGGTGCTCCCACATATACATAAACTTCATGTTGGCATCAAGCCACACACCTCAGACACACTATCCAACGTAAGCTGCCAGCACGCAACACCAAGTGACTTGGTCTTTTGGGGAAATGATAAGATGGAAAAGCATGAAGTAACATTTGTATTAGCAAGATACGTAATTTCTGAGTATAATCTGAGGGCCAGTAAGAATCCAAGGAGTGTGAGTGCTCAAGGAAAGAAAGAAAATGATGATAAGGGAAGTGCTTGCTATAATAAGTGTTTGAAAGATATTTCAAAACATTCTGCATTTCCACTTATCCTAGAAGATGCATTATCTTTTCTGGAGGCTAAATTTAAGTTTCACTTGAACAACAGGACCTAGGATATATCATGTTTCTAATTGAAAGGCATCAAGATCAAGCTGGTTGTTTCCAAAAGACCATCCACCTACTGGTGCTGCTGGCTGTGTCAGAATCAACTGGGGAGCTTTCTTTAAATCTCAGATTCCTTTTCCCTACTCCAAGTGATTCTGATTTAGTAAGTATAGGGCAGGACACAGAAATATATATATTTTAAAACTATTCTAGAGAATTCTAATGTGGGGGTATCGGTCCAAGGGAAATGAGGGGATGTAGGATCTGTTCCTTGCTCTCATGTGAGATCGAGGTTTATTTTAATCTTGCTTACTCTCTGTTACTCTGTCTGTAAAAATGTGAATGCTTATCTTGCCTCTTCCCTACTCATAGTGACTGCTATATTCACATTGCTTTATAGTTTATAGAACACATATCCAGTTTAAAAATTTGATTCTTATAGCAATCATGTGGTGTAAGCTTCATACTGTTTTACATATAAGAAAATACAAGGTCAAATATCAACAGAAGGTACTTCAAATCAGTGTGGGCACTTGAACTCATGCCTTCTGACCTCAAAGCCTGGGCTACTTTCCTTAATTTGTGTTTATTCAGGGGCATCCCTAGAAAGAAAGGAAAAATGCAGCTAGGTTATAGTGTGATGGTGATAGGATCAATCAATGAATACTGCTTCTGATTAGATGCTCTTTTATTACACAAATATCATCTAAAATATATTTCAGCATAACAATAAAATTCATAATAGCTAACACTTTTGGAAGGGCCTCTTACATCACAGGTACTCATATAAAAAAACAGCCTTATTGAGGTATAAGTGACATATAATAAGGCACATGTATTTAAAGTGTGTAATTTAATATATTTTGACATGTGTATACCTGTAAAAGCATCATCACAATTAAGATAATGAACATATCCATACCTCTAAAATTTCCTATGCCCCTTTGTAACCCCTTCTTCTCACCCCTCTTTTCCCCCATTCCCAAGAAATTACTGATGTGTTTTCTGTTACTGTAGATTAGTTTGTATCCTCTGTAATATATAACAATGTTCATTATAATATACAGTATTATACAGTATGTGGTCTTATCTTTATTCTTTCACATAACATAATTATCTTGAGATTTATCTGTTGTCATATTCATGGTTCATCTTTTTTTTAATATTTATTTTTTTTTTCCCCAAATTCTGTGGGTACAAATATTGTTAGGGTTACATATCTTGCCCCTGTACCCCTTCCCCAACCCACTCTGCCAGAGGGGTATTAAGGGCATCCAAGTTGGGTCAGAAGAGATCAAACTCTCACTCTTTGCTGATGATATGATATTATATCTAGAAAACCCCATGGACTCATCCAAGAGACTCCTAGATCTGATCAATGAATTCGGTAAAGTTTCAGGGTATAAAATCAATATATACAAATCAGAAGCATTCATATATGGTTCATCTTTTTATTAATGAGTAGTATTTCACTGACATACATTTGGACTGTTTCCATTTTTTGGCTATTACACATAAAACTGCCCTGGGTAATTATGTACAAGTCCTTTGTATGGACACATATTTTCTCTTCTCTTTGATAAATACCGAGGAGTGAAATAGATGTATGTTTAACTTTTTAAGTTCTAATAGCTATACAGTATTATCTCATTGTGGTTTAATTTCAATTTTCCTAAAACTAGTGATGTGGAGGATCTTTCCATAGGGGTATTTGCCATCTGTATATCTTCATGATGAAGTGGCTGTCCAAGTGTCTTGACAAGCTCTCGCTTTTCCTCCTCATGATAACACACAAGGAAGTAGGTACTATATCACCCCCTTTTATTGGGAGAGACAGAGACCCCATAACTTTTCCAATTTTACCAAACTTCCAAGTAGCAGAGGTGAGATTTGAACCTAGGCAGTTAAACTCCAGAGTCTATATATTTAACCTCTATGCTATATAGTCTTCCAAATTTGAAGCATTCTCATAAACCTTGTTGCTCTAAGTAATGCAACAGACAGACAACAAATGTACATGTGGAACTGATGGGGAAAGTCAATGAACGGGGGTGCAGTTGTGTCTCTGGAGATCTGGGCATGCTGGAGATACAATGGGGGCCCTGAACATTGCTCATAGAAAGTAGATTGGATGGGGGACAGGCAC